CTCAGTAGGTTTGTGGTGTGTACCAAAGCTGGAGTTAATCACCTCAGGGTCTGGAGTGTAGGTGAGTGCTCAGCATGCTCTGACTGGGTACCAGAGACCCCTCAGAGCAGATGAGGCTTTAAATTCTGCTTTTCTTTGTGACAAACTTGTCAAAAGAGTTTTTCAGGTCTAGGGAAAAAAAAAACCAACCAAATAAAACCTCTGTCCCACAAACCCCTGTCTCTTCAGAGTTTTCTCTGAGCTATAAATTCACTGCTGATATTGGCTGAGGAAATGGATGTCTGCCCAATTTAGTTGTCCCACAAAAATGTACAGAATCTCTATCTTTTGGTCTCCTGTAAAGAAAAACATGGAGCAAAAATGTTGGGGGGAAAAAAAAAATAAGTAAAACTGGACATGACCTTCTTTGGAAGGAGGAATTAATGGATTCTCAACAAGCCTTTTTTCAAAAAATTGAAATGCCAATGTTTATGTTGATGATTGATTCCAGAATTGATTAGAGGAAGGATAGACAGGTGGGTGGTGGAAGTATTACCCAAAAATGTCTAAACCAAGATTTTAAAAGAGGGTTCTGTCTGCACATGCAGCATTCACATGCACACTGCTTTTGGATGCTGACAAGGAAACAACACAACCTGCCTTGCTGTTTTCCTCGTTACCTAATGGAATATCACACCTTGGGTTGTCAGCAAATTGCTGTTAACACAAATTGTCAGAAATTCAGCTTCATGTTTGAGTCATGAAAGGGACTAAAGCTGTACTTTGAGCAAGGCTTGTGCCTAACTGTGCTTTTTCTCGGCAGTCGTGAAAAGTACTGTGGAAAAACAACTGCTGGATAAGTTCAAGTAGCAGAAAAAACTGCTTTGGGTTGTTTTTGAGTGCTCTTAGAGGAGAAACTCAGGGACTTACTTTTGTAGGTAAAATGAAAGTGTAAAAGAAGTGATCTTGCTGAAACCCCAGAATTTTCTTTCTTACTATGTCCTATGAAAAGAGACGCCTTAAGGGAGATTTTCAGGAGTACATGAGAAGTGTGTAAGCTGTGACTCCTTTCTGTCACATTTCAGTCCTCAGCCTGGTAAAACACTAGAATTTTCTTCCTTACTATGTCCTATGAAAAGACACCTTAAGGGAGATTTTCAGGAGCACATGAGAAGTCTATAAGCTGTGACTCCTTTCTGTCACATTTCAGTCCTCAGCCTGGTCGGCTGGAAGAGTTGGGAATTTGAATCTGAGGATGACCCCGTGGAGAATTTCAGATGTGCTTTTGTAGATGTGTGGGTTGTTTGCTGTAAGGATGCCAAGGAGGTGCTGCTGGGTGTGATGGGTGGTGGTTTTCATGTTGCCTCTGCAGGTGATTGTAAATGGAGAATGATGTTTCTGGTTGTACTGAAAGATTATTTTTTTCTCTTTTTTGCCATTTGCCTCCTTTAAAATGTCTGCAGCCCAGATCTGCTTGGGTAGTCATGTCTTGTGATCCTGGGGCTGAATAAAACCAGGCCAAGTAATCCCCGGGGACTTCTGCAACCAGAATTGCAGGAAGCAGGGAAACTCAGCACATCTAATGCTTTCCTCTGAATCAGCGGCATACTTGATATGGTTTCAATGGGTGTTTTGGCTGGTTTTCATGCCTCCTGCTGTAATAGCCCTTTAATAGCCAGGGCTCCAAAGATGCTCTGAGATCCTGGTTTGGTTTCTGCAGGTTTTTAAATGTTTGTGCCATAATGGGGAGAGTTGTCCTCAGCAATTTGGTCAAACAAAACTTCACAGACTTGGCCATTTTCAGGGTGTTTCAATGAAAGAAGGCATTTTGGTTTTGTTTAGGTTATGGAAAGGAGGATCAAGCTTTTTCCAGTAGATTGGAAATAGGTAGCCTTCAGTGCTTTTGGTTTTGCTTGCTAATGCAGGCTTTACCATCTAAGTGTTCCCATACTTAATCCCACAGAACAGGGCCATGAGGATTGCCCTGTGTGAGAAACATTTCTGGAAATGATAATTTCCCTTTGCTACAGAGAACAGAATTTCCCATTGGAAAAGAGCAATGAAAAAACATAATTTAGTTTGCTAATAAAATGCTAAATGGTCTACTGCTCTGTTTAGAAGTAGCTATCTCTAGATATGAAGTTATGAAAGACAGACAGTATTTACAATGGAAAAACAATTTAGTTTGCTAATAAAATGCTAAACTGTCTACGCTCTGTTTAGAAGTAGCTATCTCTAGATATGAAGTTATGAAAGAAAGACAGTATTTCCACAACTGTTTGGGTTTGGTACTCAAACCTCAGTTTCTCCCAGCTGGTAATTAGTTGATTAATATGCAAGTAAGTATGGGGATGAAATGATCTATAGGAGGTTGAAGAAATAATGAAGTAAATAAAAATGTAAATTCATTTTTGTTGAACTTAGTGCTCCTTTTAAGAATTAAGTGCAAGATAATTGTCTCAGCTTTCCTTTGTGTGTGTCATCCAGAGATTTCTTGAGTATGAACCAAACAAATTAATTTTATAGAAGCTTTTTAGTTATTGGTGCCCCTTGACTTTGATATTTTGCAGGCTATATGGTATGAAACATTATAAAATTATATCAGCAAGTAGATTAAAAAATTCCTCTGGCTCAGAGTTGTCAGCATTTGCTCATTCATGGTATTTCACTTGATAGATCATAGAATCATAGAGTTGTGTGAGTTGGAAAAGGTCTGAAGTATATTTGTGGATTTTGGTTCAATAAGGCATTCCTGAAGATATTTGGCAAAATGATTTCCTTTTTAAAAAGTTTTTTAGTACCGTGCTTAGGACTACAGAGTAAAAACAGCCCACGAAAGAAAAACATGTCCTTGGTCAGGAATATGTGTGTGTGTGTGTGTTTTGGCTCTGCCTCAACAAACCTGAGCCTAACTTACAGAAGGTGAGTAATCTTGTTTGGTTGGTGAGGAGAACACTTAAGTACCCTGTGAATGAGAGCTCTCAGGAACGTCTTGGTGTTAAGGTATCACAGGAAACAAGGCTAAGTGAAAGCCTTAGAAAGAAAACAAGATGTTCTTCTGATTAACACTGATGTCCACCTTCAGGGCTTTATCTGCAAAACATCTCAGGAAGTTACACAACTTAAAGGTGTTTCACTGTACTCTGTTGTACCTCTGGATTTATATTTTCTTCTTTGGGTGTAAATGATGAGGCATTTTTTCTCAGTTACAGCAAGTTAAGCAGAGTTTCTGCTTGAAAGACCTGGCTCACTTCATGTAGCTACATGAATCCTGAAGGGCATGTCAGTCCTTGGATTTTATTAGTGGTTGGGGTAGTTTGGCATTTTATTGATGGAAGGATAGGTCTGGATTTTCTCTGGGTTAGAATGTGTAACTGCAATTGACTTTAATGGGAGTTTTATTCAGGCTGAGATAGTCCTGTAACCTGGATTTATGCATTGCACAAAGAGGACCTGCATTCCTCTCACCAGGATCTGGGAAAACCTGCATTCTTCAGTGTTTACTGTGATACAGCCTTTGGGAAGTTCAGAATGGAGTTTCCTGGAGGAACTGCCATCTCAGCTGGCCACAGCTGTGATTTTGAGTCCTGGCAGCTCTTGGGGCAGTAGGTGTTTGTTGTTTTTGTAAAGCAACAGGGTACCAGTTGTGTTTACCCATGGTGGAGCACAGTGCTGCATATGTGGAGGAGACTTTCACTCCCTCTTCATTTCATCACACACTACCTTCAAAAACCCCCTTTGGCTGGCAGGATAAAATTGAAACAAACACCTCAAGATTCTCTAAGATGAGCAAATCCTGCCCCTGACACTACTGCTTATGGATTTAGGAGAAATCCTGTAAAATTGCACTGCCACTTGCAAAAGAATGGTGTATTTTTTTCAGGACTTAGTCAAATCTCTTGCTTAAGACAGCGAGTCTAGTGAATACTCTTGAGCCCTCCTGCTGATTGGTTGATTAGGTGGGAAGGTAAACTCATTTGTCTAATTAAACGCTGTTTGTGGAGCAATCTTGCTTTTGCTATCTTTCTTCACCTGGTTTAACAGATAAAAGAATTTCTCTGAACCTTCCAATTTCAGCCTTTTGTCTTCTGAGTATGTGAACTTCTGAGTATGTGAAAAATGAAAGTTTTGTCTTTTTTACTGCCTCTGTACATGGAAGTGGATGGGAGCCACCAGACCCCCCTGAGCAGCTTTCCCAGCTGGCTGAGGTTCCTCCAAATTGGAGGTCTGAGTCTATTCTCCCAAGAGCTGCCTCCAGCTCTCCCCCTGAGGCACGGCTTAGAGGCAATTTTTTCTCACCACATGCTAAATAAATTATTATTTATCCCAGCCATTGCCTGAAGGTGGCTGTTCTACCACTGTTGCAGTCAAAGTACACGCACAGGCAGGCAAACAACCTGTCACTAAAACCCATGTAAATGCAATCCAGCAGCCATGCACAAATAGCCAGAAGTTTTTTGCATCTTTGACTGGAGTCAGCCAGCAATCAAGAAACTGTGCTGGTCTACAGCCAAAAGAAATAGGGAATTCCCTCAGTGTTGTGTGTGTTTTTTTTTTTTTCCTCTGAAGTGATTAATGAGGGCATAATCAGGTTTGGCTCCATATTAATTGGTGCAGTTTGGCTATTAAAATTGTCAGTTCTGTGGCTGATGCTTCCCAGGATTTTCTCAGGATTGTGTTGCTCTGTGGTTGGGCTACAGTCATGGCAGCAGGAGCATTTTCAGCAGGAAAACTGAATGGAGCAGTTTTCCTTGCAAGTGGAAGCCACTCTTGTGTCCCCTAATGGGGGCTCAGATGTGCAGAGTAGTCTGTCCTTTCTTGCCTGGGAGTTTCTTCCTCACAGAGTCGTCACTGGAAAAAGAAAAGGAGCAGCAAATCAGTTTAGTCAGTGATGCAATTGTATCTAGAATCTGCAGCAAGGATCAAGATCTGTTTTGCTTTCTAGGTCAATCTAACTGTAAAGTCTTTTCTGCCTTGGGTGCTCTCTTCAGCCCCCCATGTAAACACTTCTGTCTTTGCAGTGCCTGTGATAACCATTGGCTTACTCAAAGAATCCCTTGGGAGCTGAAGAGGCAGAATCTTCCAGGCTCAGGGGCATCATATCTGGTGAGATATATGCTTTTTATGCCTTTTTTTTTTTTTCTGGAGCTATATTTTGTTCAGTTGAGACAATTTGTATCATGAGCTGCACTGCAGTGTTAGATTAGCTTCCTTTGAAACCCAGAGTCTGGTATGGGAAAAGGTTGTTTTGGGTTAGTGATCAGCCTGATTTGGAAGACAATTTGTGGTAGTCCTTGATGAAACTGACTGCCAGAAATTACTTGTATATTTGGGAATTTTCCACCCCAATTCTTCCTTTTTTTTTTTTTTTAGTGTTTTGCATGCAAAGGATTATAGATAAGTATGTGCATGGTAGTTTAGCTCTCTAAAACACTGAGAAATTTTTCCACGTTGTGGCTCCATATTAATCTCCTGGTTCCTGGAAATTACCTGAATGGGAAGGAGGTGTTTTTCCCTTGGGAAGGTTGAGCTCTTGTGTCTCTGTCATTAACCCTACATGTAGCCATCCCTGCACACACAGGCTACAGACTGAGGTAATGAGGTCAGCCCAAGAGCCACACTGGGCTTTCCCTTGGTGAAAGGTTATGAATATGGAGACCATTATGTGTCATTAAGATAATGATGTTGCTGAATGTGTCAGCGAAGTCAATGGCTCTCTGTTCCCCAGGTGTTCTGGTTGTAGTTTGATAGGGACACGTAACAGAACTTCTGCTTGCCAGGTGGGAGAAAATTTACCTTTCAAAAGATTGTTGCTTCAGCACTTGATAGGAGGCCTGCTAAGCCATGATGGTAATAATAATAAATGTTCCCAGGCTGCACTTGGTTTATAATTGCTGTCTAGCCCAAATTGCTGTGAGTGAGGACACTCCATCATTCTGGCTACACAGGTGGGGGTTATGATGTCATGTGTAGCAAATTCACTGATTGAAAAGGATGGAACATTTACGTAAAATAGTAACACAACGCAGAGTTTCAGGAGTGGAAACTAAGGAAAACAAAAAGGATTCAAAACTTAAGTGAAGCAGCCAGCCTTGATGAGGAGGTGAGGAAAGGGCTTGCCTTGAAGGGTTTCTCTGCCTGTTGAGCACCACTCTGGAGTGACTGTCACTACCAGGGGCTGTGTTTGCATGATCTGATCTTGACTTGTCCTGTAAGGGCAAGGTTTGTAAGGAATTATCTTTACAAAGGATAATCCCAAGGAATTATGGCCACGCCCGTGGCAGAATTGACAGCTCTTTTGTCTGCATACACTTTTAACGAGTTTCTACCTCTGAGTTCTCTTTTCTCAGTACCTTTTTTTCTCATTTCTGATGTTCACAGCCAGGTTTAAGTGGCCAAGCAGAGCAAAATCCTGAGCACAGAGTTCCTGTGGTCACCCTGCCTGCTCTTCTGGTCCCTGGCTATCACCGGTTGTGTCAGCAGATGAGGGAAAGAAGAGGCTGGGCTGAAGCCAGGAGGATAGAAACCTAAAAGTGAATTTGTTGGGCAACAGAGGCTCCCAAACACATCTTTTTAGTTGCATGTGGATCTATAAAGGCTCCAGTTTCAGTCCTTGGGAATAATTAAACCTTAAGCCGTGATAAACAGTGCAATATTCAATTAGTGATCTGCCCTGACCAAGGCATGTCAAAGTAAATTGGGGTTTTTGGGAGGCTGCTAACTGTGCTGACAGAGAGTTGGTTAATTCTTGAAGGATAATGTTTTGGGCAAATTCCCAGCCTCCAAATGCCTGCAGGCAGACTTGTCCATATTTGTGGTATATTTGAGGTCTAGTGTTCCTCCTTTGGGCCATATATTTTAAGAGGGAATTTTAATGGAAGGAAACATTGCTGCAGAGCAACAGCCTTCTCTGAAACACTTTCCAAAAAATGTTAAGGCCAAAGGTCTTGTTTTTTCAGGGCAAAAGATGTGAATCCTCTAATATTTACTCAGTTATAAATAGCAATGGGCAAGGCTCTAAGGATGGATTCTTAGAAGATTGTATCAGGGATAGTTATTTCCCAAACTAAGCAAAGGCAGTGGCTGTCTTTTAATTGTTCCATCTTCTTTGGCACAGAGAACACCATTATTAAACAGATAGCAAATAATTATAATAAATGTGAGGTTTTCACTCCTCTCTTCCTCGTCTCCAGTCCCAAGAGGAACCAAAATGTATTTTATTTCCAGTAAGAGGTGGCAGTTTAATGCTGCGGGGAAATGTTCATGCTGAATGTTTTGGTTCTCCAGCCATGGCATCAGTGAGGTGGCAGGAGGAAGTGCAAGCCCACGCGGAAGGAACTTACCTGGGCTGCAAGAGGTGCTGGGCTTGGACAGGGAACTGCATTTCAGTTATGCACTCCTCTCTTCCCCCATCTGTAAATAGGAGGGAAGATTTTAACTTAGAGAGAAGCTGTTTGAAAATGTAGTTACTGTCCACTGAAAGCTAGATCTGCTTGGTGTCATTGCTAATAAAGAGGTGAGTGTTACCTAATTCCATTAACAGGTCAGTTTGCCTCCCACAGTGAAACTCAGTCTCTCACAGTGTGGATCTTGTGAAGTTTAGCATGGAATTTATGCATCACCAAAGAGCTAACATGAAACCCAAACGAGACATGAGCCTCGCTAAGGAGCTTGAAGGCCAGAGCCTCCAGAAGTGCTGTGGCACTTCCAAACAGAAGCACAGAATTTGAGGTGTCTTTACAGACTCATGAGTCTGCTGGACAACTATATTCTAAAAAATCAGAAGATGTGCAGCGTTATTTCTTGGAAAAGGAATGCAGTTTCTCATTTGCGTTCTAATTTTCTGTATCAAGAGTAAATGTACAGTAACTGAACTGACTGGAAAGTGTTTGGTAGTAAATACTAAATAATAAATGTTTGGTAGTAGCTGACACCTCAAATAGCAAGGAAAAGTATTTTTCAGACACTGATATGCTTTTGTGCAAAGGTTTTTTGTTGCTAGTACTTACCAGAGAAGAAAAAGTAAAACTGACTTCTAAGAGCTATTAGGTATAATTCCAAAAGCTTGCAGTTGAACATTTATTTCTGCTGATGTAAGACAGGTATTTAACTATGTAAAAAGTTGTATCTGTACTCTGTAGGATACTTGAAACTTTTGCGAACCAAAGTGATTTCCCACTATAACCTGTTGTATGCTATTTGTACACCAAAAAAAAAAAAAAAAAAGGAAAGGAAAAAGACACAGGGATTAAATGACAGAATTGTTGCTTTTTTTGGTGGCTGTTGGTACTATCATATATGCTGAAGCATTCCAACCAAGGGCATGTGGCTGCAATGGAATTTGATGTACAATCAGTTTTAGGGAACAGCCTGTGCCTTGTTAATGTAATCCATAAAAGGCTTTCAAACTTCCTGAAACCAGTCCCTTCTGTTTCCAAGTCTTCATATGATCTCATAGGAAATGATCTGGGAGAGGCCAGCTAACCCTTTTGCATAATCAAGGTAGCATTGTTCTTTTAATGCCTAAAGTGAGTTGTTTCACTGATAGAAACTCAACAATTCCCTTCTTTTCTGTCAACAAATCTCTATTATCAGGCTTTGCAATGATTTTGGTTGCATTACAAAAGAGAATAACTGGGAAGACTGAAGTGTAATTTGAAGTCTGACCTCAATGTCATTCATCTACTTTGTCACCCTTTCTCTTAGCTATTTCAAAAATCCTAAACTCGGTGAAATTTGGAAGACTGAAATGCAAATACACATAACACAAGTGGGCAAAGTTTATTTTGCAGAGGGCTCAGAGGCAGGTAAGCAGCCTGCACCTTGCCAAGTTTCATAAAGGGCAGTAGTAGCAAAACTGCAAGGAAGATATCTGCCCTTTATATAGTTTTGACATTGGGAAACCTCTCATGTGTATATTAGCAGTAGAAAAAGACAGTGAAAAAAGTGAAAGAAAAAGTCTTGTGTTGGAGCCCTTGAAAACCTTGCTCTTTACACAAACCCAGAGTGCCTCATGCAGTCCATGTTTTTATATCCTCGGGATACCCAGGATTTCCTCAATATATTTAGCCCAAGAAGGGAAACACTCCAATGAGCTGCTGTCCCTGAGAGCCTTGTAGGGCAGCGAGCCTGAACCTTCCCTGGCAGGGCAGGGAGAACAAAAGGCTCTGGGCTCTTTGCACAAGTACAATTATGGTCTAGCCCATGTCAGTAGGCTGAACTCACTGCCTAACCAGCAGGCTGGAGTTAGGGTGAGCCTAAGCAGAGGGCTCTGTGGCACTCTGCTCGCTGCAGAGTTGTTAAATTTGGCACTCTGCTCTGGGCTCCAGTCAAACATTTTCTTCACCATATTAGGGTACGTGGAAATTGGCCAGCCAGCAGCAGGCCTTCGACGGACTTACTGCTTGTGCTCGTGTTTTATACAGTAGGCAGCCACTGCTTTACTTAAAAACTAGCAGGTTTGATAGAATAACACAAATAGAACCCTTTAAAGTTGTCATTGAAGTATGGTAGGGGAAAAAAAAGAGCATTTCCCAAGACAAAAGGCATTGTTATAACAAAGTTTGCAGTTCCCCTGTGCATTTCATGTGTAGATTTTGATCATCCTCTAAATCAGATCCCAGTAGTGATCTAGTGTGCTGTTATTCAGGTGAAAAAACAGTGAAGTGAGCCTGGCTGGCTATGATGTGAGCATTTGCTGGAATATCCAAGGCTGGGGAAGGCAAAACACTGCATTGGTGACTCTCAAGGCTTGCTTGAGTTTGGTTTATGGAGCCAAACTCCCCTGCAAGAGCAAGGGGCTTGACTTATCTGTGTTGCTTCAGAGGTAATAATGTCTGAAACTTCCCCAGCAAGGGATAGACTATTCCACTGGAGAAATTCCAAAACAAAGTCTTCAGTATTTAAGTGACAACTTTTAGGTTCTTAAGGGTTGAGAATTTGTCAAGCAGAAGTGTTGGTTAAGCAGATTATCAGGTCTACCCTATACTCCAGTAGATTTTGCTATTAAAAGTACTTTTTTAGATCAGTAAATGTTTTCATTATTTTTAATTTACTACTGCTCCCTGTAGCTGTAAACTTTTGTTTCATTGAAATGATTCTCTGTC